TCTAATATTCGAACGGGGCGCTACAATCTACCCACCTTACAAAGAATTCCGTCCTCAGAATTCCAAAATAAAACTAGAAAGCGGTAAAATACAAAGGAGAACTCAGAACTCAAAGTTCGGATAACGCCTCCTAATACCGTCCTCCCTCTCCCAAGTCGCCTCGGTCTCATCGTGTCGGCTCCACAGCACCTTCACCAAGCTCACTGCCCGGTTCCTCAACTGATGGACCTTCCGGTCCAAGATGGCTACCGGCACCTCCTCATAGGTGAGGTCTCGCTCGACCTGCAGCTCGCCGAAGTCCACCACGTGATCAGGATCATGCACGTACCTCCGAAGCATCGAAACATGGAACACATCGTGCACACCCGACAAATCTGGTGGTAAAGTCAGCCGATACGCTAAGTTCCCAACTCGGTCCAGGATCTCAAAAGGCCCGATATAGCGAGGTCTAAGCTTTCCCTTCTTCCCGAAGCGAATCACACCTCTCATGGGTGAAACCTTCAAGAAGACATGATCTCCCACTGCATAAACATGCTCCTGCCTCTTCCGGTCGGCATAGACCTTCTGCCTCTCCTGGGCAGATCTGATGGTCTTCCGGATCTCTTCGACTGTCGCCGCAGTACTCTGAACAAAGTCCGGGCCCGTGATCCTCTTCTCTCCAACCTCATCCCAATACAAGGGAGTCTGGACCTTACGTCCGTACAAAGCCTCATATGGGACCATCTTGATCGAAGAGTGGTAGCTGTTGTTGTAGGTCAGCTCGACTAACGGAAGGGCATACTCCCAAGTTAGGCTTCGGTCCAAGACCACAGCCCTCAAGATATTCTTCAAGTACTGGATCGTACGCTCCGACTGACCATCTGTCTCGGGGTGAAAGGCTGTACTGAACTCCAACCTCGTCCCCATGGCTCGGTGCAGCGTACTCCAGAACTGGGATGTAAACTTGGCATCTCGATCCGAAACAATCTCCACGGGCACTCCATGAAGTTTAACAATGTCCTTGACGAACAATTCGGCGTAATCACTCGCCTTCATGGTCGTCCGCACTGGCAGAAAATGGGCAGACTTCGTAAGGCGATCCACTATCACCTAAATCGAATCATACCCGGCCCTCGACTTCGGCAGTCCCACTAAGAAATCCATGGTGATGCACTCCCACTTCCACAGGGGAACCTCAAGGGGCTGCAACAACCCTCTCGGTTTCTGGCGCTCAGCCTTCACTTGCTGGCACACCAGGCACCCATCCACGAACTTTGCTACCTGCCTCTTCATGCCTCGCCACAAGAAAGACTTCCTCAGGTCCTGATACATCTTCGTGCTACCAGGATGGATGGTGTACGGGGCACTATGGGCCTCTCTTAAAATCTCCCTTCGCAGCTCCCACACCTTCGGGACACAATGTCTACCCTCAAAGACCAAGGCCCCATCAGATGCGACTGCGAATCCACCAATTCTACCGGCTTCCGACAATTCTCTCATCCGACATAGGAAACGGTCATTCTGTTGCTCGGCGACTATCCTCTCTCGAAGAGTCAGTCCCACAACCAAAGAGGCCAACACGCCCCCGGCTGTCGAAGTTGACTCCACTGCCTCCAACTGTAATCGCTCGATCTCCCGAAGAAGAACATCCTGCTTGGTGAACAAGCAAGACAACTGGCCATAACTCCTCCGGCTAAGGGCATCGGCTACCACGTTAGCTTT